CCCTTAAGTCACATGAAACGTTATGGGACCAAAGCAAGAAGATTGCAGCATCATTTGCTGCTGCACTCTTGCTGCTGCTGTTGCAATCTTCTTGCCTCAAGGAGCATACTAATGGGGGATGCTCATATCACCCCTGATAGCAGCCCCCATGGATGTCGACAAAAAAACAAGAAGAAGAAGATTGCAGCGTCATGATCCATCATGGAATCAGAACTTTCCCCAGAAGTGGTTGCAGTTTTGCAATGCCGCGTCATCAGGTTGGTGGAATGCCACATGAACAAGTTGCATGTGCAAGGCCATGTCTGGCCTACTAGAAATCTGCAGAGGACACCGTAAAAGTTAGTGGTGATGAATGTCAAAGTGTGCTTGCTGAGTTTTTGCTGATGTTCGTATGTGGCGACGGCATTTGGAGAAGGCTAGGTACGAGTTTCTGAAGGCACTTGAAGAGAAGGAAGCATCTAGAAGCAATCCGACAGGGAAAAAAGGTGATGGGACTGATAATGGAAGTGAAGGCGATGGTGTGGTCATTGATAGAGATGAGCCATTTGAAGCAGAGGATCTGAAGGCTGCCATGGACTCGTTCGACAATTTGTTGTGTCGACGCTGCCTGGTATGATCCAACACCGTTTTCTGTTGTCGTCTACCTTGCCGCCTCCCTCTCTCTCCATCTTTCTGTCCTCTCTTTCTCTCTGTCCCTCAGTCCCTGTGCCTCTTTCTTTCTATCCCTCTTTGCCCATGGGATAAAATGGTGTCGACTTTCTTGTGTCTCATTTTGCTATCCATGTCTGTATCTCCGTCTCTGCCTGCCTATCTACCTCTCTGACCTCTGTATCTGGCTGCCAAATACATCGTAGCATTGGGGTATTTTTGGTACATTTGAACATTCGTGAGGAATAAGCAGCAGTGTCAGGAGCAGCCTGTATCGGGAACGGTTCCTTTTACTGTGCCGTCCGGTCTGATTAACTGTGTACAGTGAGTGCCATTCCCTGCTAACTCGCTGGCCCATACTGCAGAGGCTGGCCCTGGTCATTTTCCAAAGCCAGAGGAACAAGTCTTCTGTGGTGCTCTGTGGTGGGAAAAGAGCAACGGGTGAAATGGAACAGGGAGGAAGATCCCACCATTCTGGAGGCGATGCCTAGCGGAGATTAAATTTTGGAGCAATGGCTGATGGTGGGTCGAAACGTTGTTGATGATAGGAGGCCGTGCTTGTGACAAGGCATACTCTTAAAGCTTGGAAGATGGGATGGGAGGGGTGTGCGGCAGAAGGGGTGCACCACGGCAGGGGTTGTTCAGATGAGTGACGGTAGGGTTGAGGATATCAAGAGGTTGCTGGAATGTCAGTTAGAAGGGTCCTGGTGCCAGGGTGGGGCTGTTGCAAATGTGAGTTGTACATGAAGTTGCGATTCCCCCAGTTGTTCTTGGAGAATGTACTTGCACGTGTTTCACTGACACTTTCTATCGGCTGAGTTTGTGTGCATTGCTTCGTTCCCATGACAGGCAAGCAGTGACAAGCACCCAGTATGTACTAAGTTGTGAGACCGAATCTGGTTGTTTTTTCACGTTTGTTTTGCAGGTGTTTGATTGTCGACTCCATGGTTGCAATCAGATCTATCACCATCCGGTACTTTGTCTAACCCCGTCGGCTTGTGCCTTGGACCTTGGAAGTAATGAATACCTGGTCCCGGAGGGATAACTTAAACACGAGGGTGTTTCATCTGCATGGTGTTCTGCCCTGCAGTCCCTCCTTCCTGCAGCTCACTATCATCTGTCATGTCTCATTTCATTTCCCTGCCCCTCTGTTCTTCCGTTTAATACACCCTGCCCTTTTTGTTGTATCTGCTTTTCCCCGCTTGTACAGCACAGTCCTTTCATGGCTGCCATCTTTTTCCCCTTCATTGGACTCTAATACTCTATCCTGTATCCTCGTTTTCAGTTCATCTTGTGGTTCTATCCCTCTCTCTTCCCGTCCCTCCCTCTCTCTTTTTTCACATGAAACTTCTACGTTCTTTGTAATCTCTCTCTCTCTCTCTCTCTCTCTCTCTCTCTCTCTCTCTCTCTCTCTCTCTCTCTCTCTCTCTCTCTCTCTCTCTCTCTCTCTCTCCCCCCCCCAATACACAAAGCTCGTTTCATACCAGTTTCGCGCTTCATTCTCTCCCCACTCTACCTGTCCTTCTTGGGTGTACTGAAAGCAATATCTCTTGCTAATTGATTTTGTCGTGCTCTTTCTTTCTCCCTCTCTCCCTGCTTGATGTAGTCTTCAAAAAGCCAGCGTGTGCATGTGCAGGGAGATTCACTTGTTGTAGTCTTTCAAAATCCAGCATGTGCAGGGAAACAACTTTTCTGGCTACGATGATGTCATTTCGGTGTCTGACTGTCCCACTGAATCAGGCTGCCATTCTGGATGGGTAAGGAAAGGTTCGGTTGGATTGGATGATGTGGAATTGGCAGCCCACGTCGGTGCTTGTTCTTGGAAAAGGGTTGGGAAGTTAGTGGGTCTGGAGAATTTAGCGAGTTATTATGTGGGGCAATTAACAAGTGTAATGACCCAGTTCAGAATCCAGCATTGAAACATCCGCCCAAAGTCTGTGTCATGTGAGAGATAGGGCTGCAGAGTCCCAGCGTCCACGAAAATGGGCCTCAGCTGGACAAAATATGGTCTAGTTTGCGTCTCAGTAAAAAGGACTTTTGGATGCAGTCTTGGGAAAACCCTTACAGAGTCAACAATGGGGTAGAACCAGCATTGCAAAGTCTGAGGGTCGTGGCTTTGAACCAAGCTGAAATTTTGGGGTCAAAAGTTAAAAGAGCCAGGCCCAACCTGGGTACAGAAGTCTCTTGGAGTCCTTAGGTTGGTAGGCCTGGGGTCAAGAGTCAAGTTGAGGGGTCCAAGGCATCCAGATGTCAAAGTAGGCCCTGGGAAATCAGCAGGCAGCCCCAACCTGGGTATAGAAGTTGAAGATTCAAAGACTCAAACATTCCTCAGGAGTCAACCACGACCACAAATCGCAGACAATCTGAAGGCTCAGTGCATTTTCCAGAAGCTTCAAAGGCCCGCTGGGTCCAGGCACACACTGGCAGCAACAAATTCTTGGCCGCTCAGATTGAGAAATCTCAGCCATCTGAGAAGGCAACCTGAGACAAGCCAGGCTGAGTCAACAATATAAAATCTGGGCCTGTCCTGGCTCACAAATTCTTCTGCCTTGCACTATTTTGAGGCTGGAGCGCGCCAGTGCTGGAAGCGGGCAGACAGAGAGAGTGTGCCATAGCTCGAATGAGAGAGAGAGTGGTAGCCATAGCCAGTAGAAGGTGCCGATACACCATAGATCTGAGAGAAGAGGAAGCATACCTGTAGAGCTCTTACCCTTAGTGTTCAGCCATAGCTGCTGCAGAGAAGATGTGTGGTTGCACGTGGTCGACTTATTCATCAAAGACTCAGAGTTGGCGGTGCAAACTAGAGCCTGTCTGGCGCAATACTTAGGAGGGTCTGAGGAGGAGACTGGAAGGAGGAGGTAACCATTGTAGAAGGGTTGGCAAGAAGAAGGAAAAGGAGGCTTACCTGTTGCGTGGTGGCCATAGATACCTCGAGAAGAAGAGTCCAGGAGGTGGGAGAGCGGGGTTTGACTTCCTGGACTTCGTTCGTTTGGCACCTGGGATAGGCCAGAGCTGTTAGGAGGTTGGCTTGGCGGTGACATTTTGTGTAGGTTTGTGGTGGAGTGGGAATATACAAAGCCAGCAGATACGGTGAGGTGGCGAGAAGGAATCCCATGGAAGAAGAGATCAGGTTGGACCATTGTATGCTACAAAGAGGGAGGAGCAGGTTGAACATTGTATGCTACTATGCATTGTTATATTGTTTATTTCATGCCTTGCTCTTCTTCTCCACACTCTTGCCGTTCATTGCTGTCCCAAAAGACTCTCAATTTGTCTTTTATCTTTGAGTTTTTTTTTTTTTTTTTGAGTTGATCCTTGTGAGTGTGAGATTGGATCATGTGCTTCTGAAGCTGGGTTCAGTACATAAGAAGTATTTTACTATTTTGTGAAATTGGAGAATAGTGGGAAAATATGTTTATGGCGATCCTGACTGCTACCAAAACACCTACGGAAGCCAAGTTAAGTTTGAAACTTCATTTTTATGCATGCTCTTGTTTTTGTCTATTTTTATGGTGCAGTGTGAGCCACTACCACCATCCAACGTTGGCTATGAAATGGATGGTGGCAAGAAGGTGTTTTGCAGTGAGGACTGCTACCTCCAGGTCAGTGCTTCACCACGGACTTCAATGATGGTGTGTGATGTCGTCTCATCCCTTTTGTGGTAGTGCATGGTGTGGAGTGAACGACTTGCCATCGCTTAATCCTACTGCAAGCCAAAGTCTTTGGTAGGATTTGCTGTCCAACTTCTATGCTTCATAAGTTGATTCCCCCCTAGTTTGTTTTTGGATTAGTCTGGTAGTATGGACTCCGTACATCTGGGCCGAAGCCCTCCTCCGTGCAAGCACAGATTCGAACCGGCAACCTCGGCCTCAAGAGCCAAGACTGCCAAGTCTCTTAACCACTACAGCCAGGACTTTGGTGTTCAAAAGTGGAATCGTACCGGTTGTGATATCGACCCCACCCCTGCAAGGCTGTAGTGTCCAACTCAACACACACCACACACAACACCCACGGACACGGCAATTCTCGTACACTTCGCTCTGTAGTCAGCACGTAACCCCCCGCTGGTACTCTTGCGCACTCACTCAGCCGGAACTTATCAATTCCCGTGGTTCATGGGTGCCTCCACAGTAGTATGGATTCCTTACATCTCGGCCTAAGCCCTCCTCCGTGCAAGCACAGATTCGAACCGGCAACCTCGGCCTCGAGAGCCAAGTCTCTCAACCACTACAGGCATGACACTGTGTTCAAAATGGAATCGTACCGGTTCCTGCAAGGCTGTAGTGTCCAAGTCAACACACACCACACACAACACCCATGGACACGGCAATTCTCGTACACTTGCTCTGCAGTCAGCAGGTAACCCCCCACTGGTACTCTTACCTACTCACTCAGACGGGACTTATCAATGCCCGTGGTTCACGGGTCTGGTAGGGCTTGGATCGAATTTAGATTCACACTGTCGTGACCGAATTCAATTTCGTTGGTTTCCCCGAGGCCTTTTGAGGCTGATTCATTTCATTCATGTATATTGCTGGTCCAATGAGATTATTTTTGGGTGGGCGGATCGTTCGAGCATGTTTGGGGTGTTGATTGTATGGTTAACTTCTGATAATGTGTGGTTGGGTGCTTGCACCAGTCTCTGCCTGCTTATTCATGTTTCTGGTTTTTGTCATGCTCACTGCTCAGACATAAAGGCTGTCCGGGTTCTGTAGAGGTTAATTTGCCTACTACCGAAGAAGTTGGCACGCATCTGATAAACATTAGCATCTGATTGCAAAGTAAGTATCTTTAGTGTTCACTAAGATGAGCTTTTCCAGTAAAATTTTCAGGCCCCTTTTGCCACTGGACCCCAATTAGAGCCATCTTCACGACGTCAAATATCGGGATCTCTAGGTGATAGTCTTGACTGGGCCCAAGTCGAACAGAGATGAAAGTCACCCATATTAGTGATCTGTGGGCCCCACGTGGAAGGGCTGTCGCTCAATGGATCAAAGGTATGCTGGGGATAACAGGCTTTTGACTGGCGAGAACTCATATCGAAGGAGTCGTTTGGCACCTCATGGTAACACCTCATGGTAGCATCTGTTCACCTTGTAGATGTGTGGATCACTTTCTGAGCAATTGCTAACGACTCTAGTAATGAGGGCATCTGTCAGATGCTTGTTGGGCAAGCTTAGCATGGGAGGCATGGTTTTTTGCAAGCTGTTGGCATGCCCAGATTGGTGTTGTTGTTCATCCCTTTCCTTTGTTGTTTGGTTGAATGACCAGCCCCATCGGAAGGAGGTAGGGAAAGCAGCACCTTGTTCTCCAAGACCATTCATGAAGAAACGGGGTGCGGCAAGTCCCTTTCATGAGAGCATGGCCTACAGTCAAAGCACTGGAGTACGGCATGGGAAAAGAAAAGAAGACGACATTGTACAGGAGGCTGGTGCAGAGGTGTCACAGCCGGCTAGCCCACCAGGAAGTAAGAAGAAGCTGAGAATTTTGTGTGTAGATGATGATGATGGTGATGATACTGTGGAAGAGGATAATTCAAGGCAGAAGGGGGGCGGCAGCAGAGTAGCGGACGACGACGCGCAAGGCCCAGATGAGGAGATGTTTTCAGAAGGGGATTCGTCGAGGGAGGGGACAAAGTTGACAGACGAGAAGAGGAGATGTGCAACAAGGAAAGGGGCGAAGACTCAACGATGTTTGGATAAAGTGAGGGGTCGTCCATTCGAGAAGAGTGGGGAAAGGTCGAAGCGAGCTGCAAGGGTAGAAGCCAGTGTAGAGAATGGGGAAGCGCCTGTGACGGCTTCAAGGGATAAAAAAACAGCCATGGAGAAGAGGTTTGGGGAAAGTGAAATGGGGATCTCTTCTCCAGAGGTTGGAGGGTCTGAGGAGTTGAAGAAGGACAGACAGGAGAGGAGATCCCGCTTTAGAACGAGGGCAGCTGGTAGAGGAACTGGCCAGGCTAGTGACGAAGGTGATGAGAAAACGGAGGGCCTCAGTTCAAAGGAAAAGCAACAGGCAGATTACAAGGAGAGGAGGGTGAATGGTTTTGGAAAGGAAAGTGACAGAGCAGAAGAGACAAAGTGGAGTCAGCTTGAAATAGAACTCTATGAGAAGGGCATCCAAATCTTCGGGAGAAACAGG